TTCAATTATGTTAATGATTGTGTCACCCTAAGCTTACCAGCAGCCTTTTTCAACTGAAATTTCCTCAAACTTCAGTCTAGTTACGCATCTGGTGGCACACCTGTTTTCACTTCAATATTTAAAAGCAATTGTGGGAGAAGATCAAGGACCTTGACCAACTGGGAGTTAGTAGCCAAGTTAGTCTTCTCTAAGCAATGCTCTCTTGTCCACATATTGCTCACTTTTGATGCCTTCCTTTCCAATTCCCAGACTTACCTCTTCCCAGAACAAATAGGGAGGTAGCAAACTGAACAATCATGCAAAGATCATGTTCTTCTGCACATCAGAACCACAAAGAAGAAAGTATCTCTCTGACTCTCGCATATCAGAAATTTAGAATCGTTTCAAACAAAATGTATGTATTATTATATCAACCAAGGTTTTAAAAGTAAGTAAACAAAGTTCTTTGTGGAATCCTGCAAATTCGGATAATACGCTTGACTATTATGCCCCATTTTTCCAGTTGATGAGTTTTGGAGTACTGGAGTAGAGTTTTGGAGTTCCATTGCTGTATAATCAACCTTTTAATTACAGCGCTGTAAGCGATCTCCAAGAAAATATGGAGAGATTTAAAATCACTACCCTTACAGTCTTACTTTAAAATAGTACCCTCCAAATATTCATCTTTTAAATACAGAAAAATATGTCTATATTATAGAAGCACACTTTTTAATCTCTACTTTTTAATCTCCACTCTTTAATCTGATTAAAAAAATTTAAAGGCTGATTCCTCCTACTGTGTTTAATACTAGCACTCCTCCTAGCTACTTATTTCACAGCAGGAGTTGTCTTTGAGAGCACATTCACATTATTACTCCAGACTGATCTACACAGTGACTATGGACCAGAAGAGTATGCTATATATGGTATTTCCTAAAGGACATTGCTTAAAGTACTAAAAATATCAAGCAAACAGAAAAATTTATTCTAAATATTACAGCTTTATTAACAATATAAAACAATGTGTTAGAAACCGCCTAGCATTGCCAGCAAGGTACCTCCACTGAAAGTCCACCTTTCAGATTTAATTTACCGACAGTTGGCTCTATCCCATATTAGAGGCTGTAAGATTTTATTCTCCTAGGTTTAGGGGTTTTATTATCAAACATTTTTCAGAAAGAGAAAGAAATTATTACCAGACATATTAGCAATAGAAAGAAGTATTAGAAAGGGGGTCCTTTCCTGCCAAGGTCGGGGTACCAATTACCTATGTTGGATGCTTAAGCCCGTTAAATACCTTGCAGAATGGGACTGTATTTTCTAATGTGTTCTGACAGGGTCTTTTTTTATAGTGAACCTCTGCAAGCAGATAACAAGCCACAAGGCTGTTATGGACCCTTGGTTCCAGCCATAAAAACAATTTACATTCAGACCATTTTCTGCCAGTAGAGCCAACTGAGACTATTAATCAAATGAGAAAGAAAACAAGCATTTGTAGAGCTTTAAACAGATACTGTTCATCTGTTATTTAAAGCATGACGGTATCAGAGTACTGCTCAATGTTTGAAGACCAATTGTACAATATTTAGAATGAACTTTTCTTTAAAAGGAACAACAATATGAAGCACAGAAGTTGAGCAATTGATGATCGGTCTGGGAGAGCATTAAAGGAAAATATCTCAGAGCAAAAAGCATTGCCTTTTTCAGCCCTCCAAAGCGCTATGAAAATGTGGGTGCCTGCATAGGTGTTTGCTGAAAAACAACAATAGATGACATCAACCAAATTATGCATTCAGCAAATAACTCGGTTGGCATTTGGGGGGGCTTTGTGTAGGCTTTTGCAGCACAGAAGGCAGATGGTGATTACACTGACTTCTGGAAAACTGTACTAAATGTTACATTAACTAGTAATTAGAAAACTCAGTTTGATTTCCCTTCTATTTTCATACAGACTATTTTTTGGCGTTCAAAAATATATATCTTGAAAAGTTCATAAAGCAACATCTCTAGGCTATAGACATGTTAATCTTGGTCTGTTCACACTATTAGGATAAAAAGATGACGGAAAAAATGAACTATTTTATGTATTCTCTCCCTGAACATTTACAGTTATTTGTGTATTTCACAAACTGATCTCTGACTCAGATGCAACAAGAACAAATCACAGAAAGCTAGCCTACACCCGAAATCTGCGCATTTTTCAGTCAGACATTATTTTTCAATTTTTCCTTTGTGAAGAAATTATTTATCAGACCTGTTCTCATTTAACCTAAGTAAATACAGCAAAGTATTCAATAAAAATATGATAGATGATAAAGGAGATTGCCAGAGTGTTTTTTATTTACCAACTACCAGCTTCCTAACAAAGCATACCTTCCCTTCAAATGCCGAATTTATTTCCAACTTCCTCCAAGTTGTCTATAAAACAAAGCAATATGCTGCATGATCTCTGAATACTAGATCTTCTTTAACATGAAGTCCTCAGCTTAAGCCCAAGTCCTGCATCATACAGCACACATGCAGGCTGCTCTGTTCCAGAACGGCTTTGCTGAATTCAGCAAACTGCTTCCAAGTGAAGCATTTCAGGATCAAGAACTAGAGATGGGAAAATCCCAGGGGTAGGAAGTACGATTGTAATATTTTACAATTCTGTTAAATAACAAAAAAATAACAATTCACCATGTTAGGAAACACATTTCACATTTACTATCATTACTCATCCAACTACAATCATGAGAAGAGCAGAGACAACAAAATAACCATTGCACTACTCAAACTGTTAATGGATTATTGTGGTTGGTCTCCTATATACAAACAGGTAAGTGAAAAGCAAACTCGTCGTGAAAGCTGGCAGTTATCCATTCACCTATAACCTTCAACAAATTGCTGACACACAGAATTGCATCACAGCGCATCTGGATGGGGAAGTCTGGACCTCCCGTCATGTTGCTGCTCCCATCACAAAAATCAGATGTAAAATAGTTTCCACAGTTCAATTGTCATACTATTATGACAAAGTGACAGAGAGTGACAAAAGATATCCAGTGGCTCTTTAAAATATGAAAACAGAGTCTTGATTGTATGATCACTTTTAGATGAATGGTCTAAAAGGTACAAAAATTTAATGAGCCTACAACCAAAAGCTTCTAAAGGGAAAAGTAAAAGAAAACAACAGTTGGTGAATACAAATATGTTTTAAGGAAAAAAATCTAAGAAATCAAGAGTATCTAATTCTCAGCCTCTGCATGCAAACCGTACATTTCCCTCCCTGTGCCTGTTTGTCAGTTAATGTATCCTTTCCCCCTCTCATGTTGATGCATGACCAAATACAAATAGACCTGTCTTTGATGCAATTTCAATTTCTAAGAATATTGATTAAGCAGAATATTGACTTTTCTCTGTGTCTGGTTACAGGTTTTATTTCCAACTGCAAGTGATAATGGGTTTTCTCATTGTTTTGCTTATTATTCCTACATAAAGAACAAACCAAAAAATTTTCCTATAGTCTTCAAACAGGATCCCGTTCTACAAACCTAACTTAAGCAAGACCCATTAAACTGCTATAAAATTTAAAGGGAGGCCATGCCTCAGACATGACCCTTTCTCTTTCTAACACGGTTTAGTGCTCGTTGCTTTGATACCTTGTCTTTAATTTCTCTCATGAAAATACATAGGAGGAACTATACACCTATGGATGAGCAGCTTTTCTGTCCCTCCCAAGATATATTTTTTTTTTAAAGGGGAAGAATTAAACATCAAAAATCCCCAGTAGAGTAAATTACAATGTGTTATCAAACAATCCTATCAGTTTTATAGGAATCTGGGGAAGATTTTGGTCACATACAAACCCAACGTAACTACCACATTGAAACTTCCTCAACAATTTCCCTGACCTCTAGTCAAATTAACCTTTCATAAATAACCATTAACATGTGGTAAAACTATGCATAAAATACAGCAAAGTTTTCCCGTATATAGCAATTATCATTGTCAAGGAAATAATTGGTAGCTCTCGTCATCATCATAGAAGGTGCCAACAAATGACTGAGAACACAATTTCCTTCTTTACCTAAGGCGTTAAGGGCCACAGGAACCTAAAAAGATACCTGCTACTGCAGTAAGCATTTGATTTTACATGAAAAAATGTAGAACAAATTAAGCGAGCGGATCTAAATACATTTGAATGAGCCATGTTCCTAGTGCAAATTGCGTATAAAAAAAGAGATCCTGAATTCTAGTTATATGCTGTTTGTAATGCCTTCTTGGTATTTGTATCATTGTATCTTAATATACTATTCTGTAAGATCCTAACTTGCAGAGGCTTCCTACTTTTTATTCTTACCTAATAGAGTGACCGATCAACATGCTGTCAACATGTCAGTTTTTTCCAAGACAGGCTCAACATATACGCAACAAGGTCAAATAGCCGTCTTCCTATTTTAAATAGGATGGGAATTTTGACAATTCTACTTTCAGCGTGCAGAAACATTCCAGCACTGAGCTGCACTCTGCTGAAAGCTAAAGTGTGACAGATGCCTTCACAGTAATTGCAATCAGCCTCTACGTAGCAGCTGAAAACACAATACATCACTTTGATCTCCTCGGCTCTCAAAGTATTCACAATCAAGGAATCTGCATGAAGAATATGAAATATGCAACATTTCCAAAAACTGTCTCCATGGAACTTAAATATGATAATGTATATTTTGTTCATACTTCATAAAGCGTTTCCACTCCTTTATTATGCATATAAAAGGATATGTTTTATCTTGCAAAAAATAAACATGAAAGATGTGTTATATTTCAGATACATGTAGGTTTTCATCGGATAACATAGGTGAAATAATCGTTTAGAAAAGCCTGAATTGCTTTGAGGGGAAGACATTATTACAGAACATGCTTAATTAAGTCCCACTGCTAATTTTGTAAAATGAATACCTTGTTGAATTAGACTACAGGGAAATAAAGCATGCGTACCAGCTCCACGCGCTTAAAACAAAAAGAAAACGCTGAGAAAGGGCTCACTTACACTTTGCAGGTAGGTCATATCCACACGTAATTTTTGCTTGTCCAGTCTCACAGCCACTCAGGTTGCGGCATTCAGCAACTAAGCAGGGCCCAGCAGCTCTGTGTATACAGCCATCCACTACAAAAGTAAACCCAGAAACTTTTATTTATTAAAAGCTGGTCTTTATGTTGCCTTCACACAAATATATGGTCACAAACATTTACTGCTCATTTTTACATTCACAGCACAGACCTACTGATCTATAAGTAGATATCCAAATAGATACAAGCATTTTTTCTGCAAGAATTAGTCAATGTGTTTATCAGAAAAATAATATTCAGTCAACTTCTGCTAATTGAAAACACCTAGAAAAGGTAAAGCAGAATTAAAATTTCAATATTAGAAACGGATCTTATTCAAGGCTCTAAGAAATTCTCACTACACGTTATGAAAACAAATTTGATTCCCGGCTAAATGCCAAACTCTCTTTTACTGCATACCTCCGATACTTCTGAAATTACGCAGACTGTTTAATGTCACCATCCTATTAATGCCTTATACAAAAATTCCAAGAAATAATGCTTATGGATTTGAAATATAAAAAATACCTTGTTTTGACCTTTTTTCTTTTTTACATTTTTTAATTTTGCATTTTCATGCAATACTTTGGAGTTAATTAAATAATAATTACTAAAGGTTGCAATTGCAGCTAAGTATGCAAGAAAATTAGTAGAGTGCATAGATCTTATTACCCTTGGGAGCCAGCAAAAGAATACTAGTAGCAGCAAAGAATAAAAAAAGGCTGCTGGCACAGCATTTCTGCCCTCTCAACATGCAATCAAAGAAATAATTTACTGTAATTATGGCAAAAAAGTTTAAGAAAAAGGAAACAAAAAAAAGGGAAATACTGTGTGCATGAACATATTACCTACAGTAAGGCCCTAATTCAGCAGCAATGATGAAGTTCAACTATGAGAAATAATCATCATATAAACTATAATATCAATTCAAAAAAGGTAAAATAAGCTGAAGTATAAAGGCTAAAAAAATACTTACGGACACAAGAAAGGAAGATTCTGTATGCATATCATTTGATATGCTTCTGTGATGGAGTGACTACATCAGTGGACAAGGGAAGGGCTACAGATGTCGTCTATCTGGACCCCTGCAAGGCCTTTGACACGGTCCCCCACAACATCCTTCTCTCTAAACCAGAGAGGTATGGATTTGATGGGTGGACTGTCCAGTGGATGACGAATTGGTTGGATGGTTGCATCCAGAGGGTAGTGGTCAACGGCTCAATGTCCAGATGGAGATTGGTGACAAGTGGCATCCCGCAGGGGTCCAAATTGGGACCGGTACTGTTTAATATCTTCATCAATGACATACGACAGTGGGATCGAGTGCACCCTCAGCAAGTTTGCAGACAACACCAAGCTGAGTGGTGTGGTCGACACACCAGAGGGACGGGATGCCATCCAGAGGGACCTGGACAAACTCCAGAAGTGGGCCCGTGTGAACCTCATGCGGTTTAACAAGGCCAAGTGCAAGGTCCTGCACCTGGGTCGGGGCAACCCCCAGTATCAAGACAGGCTGGGGGATGAAGGGACTGAGAGCAGCCCTGCCGAGAAGGACTTGGGGGTACTGGTGGATGACAAGCTGGACGTGAGCCAGCAATGGGCGCTTGCAGCCCAGAAGGCCAATCGTATCCTGGGCTGCATCAAAAGAAGCG